CGTTCCCAAAGTTCCCCGGTAGACGAATATGAATGAAATGAAAGAGAATACGTTTATATGCACCATCATTAATATAATCCATATAACTCTACCCCCTGGTGTTTATTCTTCCATAGCCGTAAATAGCAGCTTTTTAATGAATAACGATAGGCGATTCTATGGTATCTAAACTTTCTGGCCTAAGCAAATCACATATGAAAATGTCATGTTTTCCCCTTGGCCATCGGCAGGCTTGCCTCCCTTGAACTCTCCCGGAAACTTCTCAACCAGTTTTGAATGCTCCCAAGCTACCTTAACATCCACATTTTTAAACCCAACATCTTGCATAAGGGTAGACATCCACGTTCGTCCAATTCCGTGACGCTCAACTCCGTCCATCTTGCCCTCCGGGTGGAAACGCCTGGCCTCGGGCCCAAAATCCTCAAAGTCTGTCAAGGCCACCATGCCGCCTTCCTTCAAGCAACCTAGCATCGTCCTCAAGACTTGTCTCAGATCTGCTATGTGATGAAGGACTAAATGTGAGATAATCAGGTCATACTTAAGCCTTGGCCCGTCCGGGTTGGCCCCGTCCGCCGCCGGCATCCTCTTGTCCTCTGGATCTTCGAGTAAAATTGCGAGAGGCGTTATGTTCTGAGGGGCACCTGGCTTGACCAGTTTCGATGAGAGAACTTCGATCATTCCTTCCGCGGCATCAACCGCCACCAGTCGATTTGCGGCTGGCGCGACTTCCAAGCTGAGTAGTCCTGTACCGCACCCAATCTCAAGAACATCTGGCCGCCGAGAGCTGTCACCTGTTCCAGAAAAGAGAGATGGAACATGTGTTTGTATGGCCTTCCAAGCTTCGAGACTCATCTTTTTGACAAATGGGTTGTTATCCCAGGCTGCCGCCTCCGCATTGAAACGATCATTGCCGACGTTCGGCCTAGCTTGTGTCTCTGGTTCCGCCATCCTGCTTGATCAGAGATGGCTTTGAGACAATACTCTCCGCTAAAGCTCTGGCCTTGTCGGTTAATCTAGGAGCTACGCCCGCTGCCTGTCCTCAAGTAAGATTGATTGCTATCAAATCTTCGTGAGCGGATAAGCTAGCGGCGCTAAGTATGCCATGGCACCCGGCTCGAGATGCGGCTATCGGTCTCTCTGCCGAGGAAAGATCTCTGGAAGTCTTGCAAGTGAGCAAACGAGGTTCCGTCCTGTCGCATACAGAAAACATAATATCACTCCTAGAGAGAATGGTCGGCGAATACAACTCAGCTACTGACATGTCATTTAAAGTGTGCGGTCATCTGAGAGAATAAGGGCAGGTGTTCGAAGTTTGAACAATCCAGCGTACTCTACATACAAATTTGACATTCCGACATCAACAACGCCATGCGTCCATTTTGGATTATAACCAAACAAAACTAGAGCTATTATGCATTCTCAACCGTTCCGAGTCAAGCGCCAGAGAAGAGAGCCTTTTTTTGATATCCGTTCCAATGCATACATGCTAGTAATCATAGGGCCGCTACGCCCGTTCATTAACCGTCCAGCGGCGCTTCGTAGAAGACATATCACGAAGTCGTTCCGCATCGCCCGGCGGCAGAGGGTTGCCCCACAGCCCGCCTGCGCCGGAGCCCAGTTGTGGGACACCTGGTGTCGCCGGCTTCAGCTCGTCCTCCTCCAGCGGCGGGGTCACCACATCCGGGAAGGGGGAGATCCGATCACTTGGAGAGATTGGATGCTCTTCCGCATGAGTTCCGTTTGTAGGCTTCGCCGTGGGATCGGAGTTCGCGAAATTAGGGAGGAAGCTGTCCTCGTCGTCCTCGATAGACTCCTCGCTCTTCTGTAATGGCGACCACAGCCCGAGCGACGGCGATCTCGGCGCGTCAGACGGCTTTATGAAAGAAGTGACACCACTGCCGACAGTGATCCCACCACCAGTGCCACTATTGTTCCACAAAACCCTGCCAGCAAGTGCTGTCGGCCCAGAGGACCGCCTCATGCTACCCAAATTCGCCGCTGCTGACGAACTGCGACTGCCGCCATCCCCGTATGACGAAAACACTCCAGCAAGCGGAGAAGAGAAGGTATTTGAAGAATGACGACCTCGATTGACTGTTGCAATTGAGGCGTGGCGTGATGCAGTCGGTGTTTGTGAGTGCAAGTGTTCTGTATTGGCGAAGATCTCGAGGTCGTAATATTGGTGGACTGGGACGCTGCCGTCCTTAAAATCTGCCAGGGAAGAGTCCCCTGAATTCTGGGCCGTTGACGCAAATCTGACTCCGTTCTCAACCTCCGGCTTTCGAATAGCCATAGTAAGCGATGCTAGACCAACGTCCATTAATACTGGTTGGTGTGTAATGGCACCAATCAAAGCGTTGCACCCGGCTCCGTGAGACACTAGGATGACGACCGATTCGGTTTCTTCTTCGTCGTAATCTTCGATGGCACACTCGTTATCGTCTGCGATCTCACCGTCTTTGCGGCCCCTCTCCTTGGTGACCATTTCGGTGGGGTTATCTACGGCTGAATACCAGTCAACCAAGCACTGCAGTCCTTTCCTAAACCTGCGGTGCATTTCGGTCCACTCTTCTCCGTATTGTCCACCGTCGCCCCAGTCCATGGTCCCTCGCATCGAGTCCCACTGATAATCAATGTCACAGCAATTATCCCTGGCGTGCGGAACAAACCCCCTAGGAATCTCGGCACTCCTGGATATTGCATAGGCCGGGACTGGCGCGACATACCCGCCTGTTGGGCTTCCAGCCCGCTGACCTCCAATGTAACTCGAGTCACTGGCATTGCTCGCAATACTTCCATTCCTTGGTAATGCACTAGCTATGCTGGAGAGGCTCTCCAACCCATGAACTTCTGAGTTGGATCTATTCCCGGGCTGCGCCGATAGAGGGCTGCCTCTAGCAGTCATTCCCCACATCTGACCAGAGCCCGAGTTAGAATGAACATGGTGGTGCGCATGTGCATTCAAATGCGGGTAAGTATTGTAGTCTTCTCTCCGGAGGAGCTCTGCCTTCGCACTTGCAATCATCAGACCAGACCCAGGTGGCGGTGTAATGAGCTCGAAGTAGCCTGGCGTCAACCATTCTCCCAGAAACGCGTCCAGACGCAGGACCGACTTGTGAATCTGTGCCTCATCTGCCTGTCCTAAGAGTCCATTGTGCCCAGCCGCTGCTTGCTCGGGAGGGACGTTCAGTGACGACGATGTAGCTCGTGGTAGTTCGGTGATGATTGTGGGTCGTATTCGTGGGCTCGCAGCCGGACGAGGTGAGGTGTTTTGCACTGAGGGTGTGTGGTTCGGATGGTGTGAGATGCTTTCTGGGTGGTAGGGAGGAACAGAAGCAAGGCCCGCGCTGATGCCTATAGACGTCTGGACGCAACGCAGAAACGGCGAGCTGTGTATGACGACCTTGTATCGTCTTCGTTTGCGCTTGGATGAACTCCTTTGGCTTGCGATGTGATCCTCAATCTCTCGTTCTCTTAAGATCTCCGCTATCCTTGTACCAAGGGCTCTGGATTGTGTCCATCCGCTGTAGGTCAATGGTGGGTCGTATGGTGTGGGAGATTGGAGATGCCATTGCTTGTTGGCTGCATCGAGTCGGTTGCCATGTCTGATAGTCTGTTTAGCAATGCTTCTAGCTTTCACGCAACGCCGAGTAGCAGGACTGGAGGCAAGAAAAGGGGAAGAGAGCAACAGGGGTTTACTCACCTGACGACAAAGATATAGGCCGGAGCCCGCCCCATGACGGAGAAGCGCGCGAGGTTGAGTAACACCGATCGATTGTGACGAGAAGAGAGTGACGGATGAGAGATGAGTTCTGTTTGATGTAGTTGAGGTATGTAGGCGTCTGATAGTGCGGGCGTGCGGGCAATTATGCCGTCGGAAGTAATGGACGACGATGTTGCTTTTCAAAGAAATCCGGTGGATTAGGAATCTGAGCGAGGGTCACAGGGATTGCCAATAAGATAATAAGCTTCGTGATCGTAACCGGAGCCGTGGGAATCGACAAGCTAATGGGTGCGCTTGTAGCGGAAATGGAACCAATGCCGGATTCACATCAAGCTCGATCTGGAGCGCGGCAACGACTCGAAGGGTATCTTCGGTCCCGGCGGGGCAGTAGAAGAAGAAGGACGGACTATTCTAGAGCTGCTAGGATCGTGAGGGTTTCATCGACTTCACATGCTTAGAGTTGCAGCAGTCCGGACTTCGCCAGGGCTAGAGGCAAGACATGCTAAGCCGGGAATGATGAAGGCTGAAGGCTGAAGGCTGAAGGAGACTTGGCGTCGATGTTTTAGACACAGCAGCAGCGCCACGGGATCTCCAAGAACAGGCGAGAATGATGGCGGCGTCACGCCACGGAGAGATGCCCTCTCGAGCAGCAGCGATGTTGTATTACGTGTAGAGGAGAAAAGGGAGAGGCGGAGCAGAGATGTCACGATCAAAATGGCGCGTCACGACTCTCTCATTGAAGAAGCACTGACTGACTGACTGCTGCGCAAGCTGCATGCATTTAGACTAGCTTAGCTTGCTTGTGTGCGTCGTGCAAGTTTGCATCACATGTGATGAGGACGGCCCACATCATTCGCAGCGGGCGGCCATTAGTCACCCTCCAGAATCCCAGAATCCCAGCCCAGCGCTCGGGCTGCCGCTTTGTGGAGACGGCAACAGTGCAACCTCCAGCGTGGCCAACTAGCCTCATTTAAGCCTAGCGTCAGAATGGCCTGTGCGACCCCTGGACAAGCATCTTTTCCCCAACTTGAGGCTGCTTCGTTTAGAGTCATAGCGTTTCTGGCTAACTTATGCACGTAGCCGTGCTTATGGCAGGAAGGCAATCTGTCTGTCAGTCTTACCAATCCCTGCTCCTGCGCGCCCTTGGAGTTCACGGAGTCTACATTGTCGTATTGGCGCCCCATGGCCTCCCTTTCTCGAAGTCGCTCCTTTTGAGACACTTTCAACACCAACTACTCTCTTGAAGAGGCAGCATACAACAACTTCATCAGTCAGAATGAAGCTGTCCAACATACTCCAGTTGCCCGCCCTGCTGGTAGCGACTGTGCTCGCTCCCGTTCCCATTGCGGCCGAGCACACCAGCAACTGGGCCGTTCTCGTTTGCACCTCGCGCTTTTGGTTCAATTACCGACATCTTGCCAATGTACTCTCGATATACCGAACGGTGAAGCGACTGGGCATTCCCGACTCCCAAATTATCCTCATGTTGCCGGACGACATGGCTTGCAACCCCCGGAATGCATTCCCCGGTACAGTCTACTCCAATGCCGACCGGGCTGTCGATTTGTACGGAGACAACATCGAGGTGGATTATAGGGGATACGAGGTCACAGTCGAGAATTTCATCCGCTTATTGACAGATCGCGTGGGCGAGGAGACGCCTAGAAGCAAACGGCTCTTGACAGACGACAGGAGCAACATCCTCGTGTACATGACGGGGCATGGTGGTAATGAGTTTTTAAAGTTCCAAGACGCAGAGGAGATCGGCGCCTTTGATTTGGCGGATGCTTTTGAGCAGATGTGGGAGAAGAAGAGGTAAGAAACTTCCATACAAGCCTGCAATGAATACATAATACTGACTGAATGCCTTTCACTCCAGATACCACGAGATCCTCTTCATGATCGATACCTGCCAAGCAAACACCATGTACAGCAAGCTGTACTCACCCAACATCATCGCCACCGGATCTTCGGAACTTGACCAATCCTCCTACTCACATCATGCCGATAATGACGTCGGCGTCGCCGTCATCGACAGATACACATACTACAATCTCGAGTTCCTCGAGAGCCAAGTCCAAGACTTGAGCAGCAAGAAGACCGTCGGCGACCTCTTCGACAGTTACACCTACGAGAAGATCCACTCCAACGCCGGCGTGCGGTACGATCTATTCCGTGGCGGAGCCGATGCTGCGCGCAGCCGTCTCGTTACCGACTTCTTCGGCAATGTCCAGAATGTCGAGGTAGATGGTAGCAAGAACACGACACTGGAGGAGGATCTACTGTCCCTGAGCAAGCATATTGCTGCTCTGCGACAGAGGGCTGACGAAGCTGAGGCTGCAAAGAATATTACTTCAGTGCCAAAGGCGGCACTCAAGGTCCAGAACAAGATCCAATTCGCTAAGCCATTGACTGAGGAGAATTGGTGGCTGAAGAAGGTCGTCGGGGCGCTGGTTCTGGGAGGATGTGCATCGTTATGGGCTTTCAGCTCGTCCCTTGAAGGCTCACGAAAGCCGAAGGCGCTTGCTAGTGAAGGGGAAAAGCCGAAAGAGGTGTCACAATAGATTGTTATGAATAATGAACGATATATGCCCATGCCCATGCCCTTGTAAGTTGGGGCCAGTGACAGCTGCCATTCTTAGGAGACCGAAATCAAATGCGATGTGCTTGTTTGAATGCACTACATTAGAGCTGATTAGATTTTCCAACTATATGATTTGGCATGTATTAGTGACGGTGAGTGCGGGTGGGTGTTTGTTATTGAGGAATGTACATTAGGTTGTTTTATTCAAAAGAAAGCTATCTGAATTATTTTTGACACCTAGAAACCTCCCCTCAACCACCACGCCGGCCAGTCACTCCCAATCAACTCACCAAAAACACCATGCACCAATCGTCACCCGGACCAGGCATGAAAACCACCAATTCACTAAAATGAAACGATCAAAGGTATGTTTGCTTTCTCAAGCACTCTCATCTTGTTGCACGCTAGCATCATTGAGGAGATTTACGACCTCATAAGTATGAGGCATCCTCACCCCCAATAAACACCTCAGCCAGCCCGTCAAGACATGAGGGTTGACAAAATTTCTACCACGAAACAAGATTCCCAAAAGAAGAGGATACTTGATTTCAGTTCTTTCTGCACCGTTGCACTTTTGACTTGATTATCTGGGACCGCCGCCCATACTTGCCCTGAAGTCAGAGCAGGCTTTTCTCAACCCACGTTTGACCTGCACTGATTGCCCTTGGATGGGGCAAGCCTGCAACATCATTCCTCACTATGGCCTCAACTCATGATGACGCACTCCTTGGGTCTGGCCTAGAAAGCCTGAGCTCCGCAATGGCTACGCCGAGCCGCGCTTCATCGCTTTCGTCGGAGGACAGGTCAGATGGCGGTGCCCGTCTGAGTGAGACGTACCCCTTTCCTGATGCCGACTCCACACATGGCTCACCAATGTGTCCAACCTCAAAGCCTGACGTACGTTCTCAGATTTTGCCCCTTCGTGGGCTCAACCTACAGTCAAAACCCTTCAACAAACGCGCTATCGCCTGGTCGTGCGATGCTGAGCTGGCTGTGGCGGCCGATGATTCCGTCCACGTCTTCCTGCCGGAATTTCCTGAATCTGAGGAGGACGCTATCAAAGCAGAAAATGATGTGTATGGAGATAGCCAGCCACAGGAACGCTACGATGACGAAGGTGACGATGACGACGACGAAGTCCAGATCCTCGGCGCCCATCCTCTTATGACGAGTGGACGACAGCAATTCTTCGAGGGCACGCGTCAGTTCCCCGTCACTTACCCACCACTCAACACGGAGATCAATCGTCACATCTGGGATGCGGCCGGCGAGCACTTCCCCGAGCTCGACGACGCTCCGCCCACTGCTCGCCCCGACGATGCAGGTGACTCACGCTATAATCCCGATCCATATCTTCGCACCGGTGCAGGCGCACGTCTCATCGGCTCCGTTGGAAGCACACTAAACCATGTCGTTGCCATCGAGTGGTCCCCGTCAGGTATAGGTCGCAATGGCCGTCCTGTACTCAGCGTTCTGACAGCCAGCGGTGTCTTGGCGATGTATGGCGAGGGCAGCCCGAACCTATCATCAGGAGCAAAGGGGTCGCGAAGCACCCTCCGCGATCTTAGCCGCTGGGTTGTGCTGTGGGCAGTCGGCGAGAAGTTCGTCGTTCCCGGACAGGAAAACTATGGCGAACGCATCATCTCGTTTGCGTGGGCGCCGCAGCTTAATAATGGCGCCGCGCTTCTCACTTACTTGAATGACGAGCAAGAACTCGTCATCCTCAGCATGCGTACAGAATACAAGACTGGAGGTGCTTCGCAGTTCGGAGATGAGGAGGCCGTGTGGCATGTTCGAGAAGAGTGTAGGCTGAAGATGGCAGGTCCGCATCCAGTTCTTGATCAGTGGGATCCAGAGTATACACCCTCTGGCTCCGCTTTTGCGTTGAAGTGCAGTCCTTGGACGAAAAATGAGAAAGAATGGACGTGCCTTCTTTCTTATCTCGACAGTAACTACATCGGCTTCCGCAAGATTACTCTTGAAAATACGCACGACAACCCCGGCCTAAAGGTTCAGGTTGAAGAGCAGGACTGGAGCGGTATCTGTCTCTTCCTTGGGCCAGACGCCTTCGTAGAATGGGAAGACATTATTTGGACGGAGGAGGATGACACGAGAATTTGCCGTGGTATCATTGCCACTCCTTTCAAAGCACAGTCTTTCGAAGTCAATCTCACCAGGCGTGGTGAAACCCCCGTCATTACACACTCGACTGAGACATGCAGAACTACCTACCGCGATAAGAACGATAGCAACAACAATCCTATCCAGGGTCTTGTCATTCATCCGCTCAATCCGGCTACTCGAACCATAGAGCCTCTCTATACTCTGATCCGCCTTTCTGCAACAGCCACGAACAACGACTGGTTTGAAACAAATGCACCCGGATACTCTGGCCCCGACCAATCATCGGACCAGCGGCCCCAATGGGCTGTCGAGATAGCGCAGAAGATATCCGTTGCTACGCCGGCGGGGCTCAACGCCAGTGTCGATGATAGCGACGAAGATGACAGTGGAGAGTCTGAGAAGGGAGGCGGCGCACCTCTCGCCGACTCCGATGCCGACTCAGATGACGAGAACATGAACTTCGTTCCGACAGGACCAGATATCCATCCCACCCGTATGCGCCTATGGGGCCTCGCACAGAGCCCTGGCGGTGGATCAACAGCGGTACTGGCCACCCCTCAGATGACACAGTTTCCCGAGCGTGGAGGATGGCACAGTAGCCGAAGCAATGTCATGTTCAGCTGGACGGCACGAGAAGCTAACGACTCACAACCCGCTCGGCTTCAGGGCATACCTGCCGTGCACGGCCTCACCACCGAGGGGCGGGTCTGGGAGTGGATGTACGGCACGGGTGCAGGAGTACCGGGCGTGACGAGCGGTCCTGGTGTTAATGACGCGGACACAGCAGGCCAGGCCAGGCGACTGAACGTTAAGCATCTGTTTGCAGACGCAGTGCGTAATCAGACATGCGCCATCTGCAACGGCGCGAGTTCGATCCGCCCTGGTGCCGTGGAGAGCATGTGCGAGAAAGGCCACATCTTCGCCACATGCGGCGCGAGCGATCTCGCCATTCAGCAACCAGGCATCTCCCGTGCCTGTGGTGTATGCCGATGTCGGTGCCTCAAGATCGAGGAGCTGGTGAAGGTCGTGCCAGACAAGGCCGATGTCATCCGCGCGGAAGTCCTCGGCGATGTGTGCATGAAGTGTGGAGGCAAGTTTATCAATTAAGACGATGCAGTGCGTGTAGGACTACTAGGACTCAGGATTCGAGGTCAATGGACCATGGTCGGGATGGATCGTATAGTATGAATTGTATGAAGAAGCCTATGAACACCAAGTCTAGGGAAAACGTCGAGACAAGATATACCCTTGCTATGCCAAATCATCAAGAGAAGCTCCCCAAAGCTTTTCGACAGGGCCCAGAACTATGCAGAGCAATGAGATCATAATGTACACTCCACTCTATGCCCATGTATTCTAATCGTGAGATCCTCCACCTCTGACTTCTGATGTCCTCCCTCGCAGTTGATGCGAAACAGATCCCGGTGCCACCACTCGCCGTCTACGTCGTTTCATGGCTGCCCTACCCGCATGTCCAATTACCCGGCAGCACTTCTATCGGCCTATGGAAAGTGGCGTTGTCTTTCGGCCAATATTCATCACTTCTATCTTGAAGAGAAGCTGTCTTCACCGAGTGTCGTTGCCGAAGCCCTCTCGTTCAACCGAACACCTTGTTCATAGCCTGGTGCGCCAGCTCCACGCCCAAGAACGTGGCCGCGTTGGCAGGCACTGCTCTTGCCAGAGCGGGGCCGAAGCCAGGGAAGAAGGCCTTGACGCCGCCCTTGCCGTACAGCTCGCGCACGACACCGCCGAGAGTCACGTTGCCCTCGGCCGTCTGCAGCCTGCTCTTGACCGTGTCAACAGGGAAGACCGGGATCCACATGGCCACACCGGCCGCAGCACCAGCACACGTCACAGCCATCAAGCTCAGCTGGCCCGATGGCTTGCCAGTCGCCGGGTCGCGGGGCGTCAGCTTGCGCTTGATGTACTCGTACGCGGCAAAGTAGGCCGCGGAGCCGGGGCCGTCGCGGGCGAGGGTGGCCGCGGAGCCGCGGAAGACGGAGCGCACGCCGCCCTCCTTGTACAGCTGGCGCACGACGTCGACGCCGCCGTTGTACTTGGGCTTCTCGCCGGGGGCGAGCGTCTTCTGGCCCTGGACCTGCAGGATGACCTTGACGCGCTCGAAGGGCGCGGTGATGGCCGTCATGGGGATGGCGGAGAAGAAGCCGGCGGCGGAGATCTGGCCGATGGACAGCGAGCCGTCCGGGTTCGGCGCGGAGACGCCCTGGACGAGCTGCTTGCCGAGATCGTAGCCCCAGAAGGACACGGCGACTGTGGAGATCTTGTCAGTCACATGCTAGGCATGTAAGATTGGGCAACAGGCGGGCAGGACTCACACATGGGTGTAACGCCGACCAGCGGCGCGCTCACGCCGGCATACAGTCCTCTCCGCAGGCCATCCTTGGCCACGCTCTTCCGTACGACATCAATGGCAGACGAGTACACGCCCTTCTCGGCGGTCTGCAGGCGGACCTTGACGAGGTCAAAGGGATGGCCGACGACAACGGCGCAGATACCACCAAAACCGCCGGCTGCGAAAGAGCGCAGCTGCGACAGGCCGGAGCTCGTAGCAGCCTTTGCCTCGGCCTTGATCTCTGCCTTCAATTCCTCCTTCGACTCGGGTATGTGGGGGATCTTGTCGGCCACAGCGGCGGGCAGTGCATCGTGGATCTTGCGGTTGGCTACAGCCCCGGCGCTTTCGCTCGATGAAGAAGACATTGTCTATATCTAGGTACGGCTAGGAGAGAAATGGTCGACAGAAGAGATGGTGAAGAGTCTGCGATGGCAGCTGAGCACCGAGGAGAGCAAATGCGCACGCGCCGAAGCTCTGGTAGCTCCTACTTTCTTAGCCTGCGCTGGGTAAATAGTGGACAGAGATAATGACGGCAAAGCACCACGATTGCCACGGGAGATTAGTTCGATCGTGTAGAAGCTACAGCAGCAACAGCTGTATCGTCAATCAACAGTTCTCCGAAGCAGATTTGGTGTTTTGCAGCGTCCCGGCGCAAATTCCAGCGGTCAAGAGTCGATTGTGCTGCTGGTAGGAGGAGCGACGTAAGGCGAGCCTCGGCAAACCGGAGCCCCACGATAGCTAATAGTCAGTCTCTCGGCTGTTGGAGAAAATGGTTGCTGGAACTGCCACTACACAATTCAGATCAAAAGACTCTTCACTTTGGGGGTTTGAAAAGAGAGATTTTAGTTGCGAAATGTCAGTCAAGTCAAATTTACACAATGTTTATCGGATGTTCAGGGCCGCAGACAATTCCCCTCACGTAGGACCCCCATCAATTACGAACAGGGCATTAAAAAGCGCTGTATTACATTGTAAGCCGTTTGGCCCAGCCTCGGCCGTTCGGCTGGATACCGGATCTCCAAAAGCGAGCTGCTGAATGTGGACCCCTGGAGATTAGCTCACCAAGTGCTGTCATCGGTCCAAAAACCCCGCGGTTAGTGGCTTTCCAGCAGTAAGTGAACTCGTGGGATGAATCGTGGGGTGCTGAGGAGTCGCCTCTCCTTACTGGCCCTCCGGAGAGGTGGAACATCCAGCCTCCCGCTGCAAGCCGCCCTCCGGACAGGCGGAGGCCAAGCCACAGAAGTTTTTCATGGTCACATTCGCTTGATGAGAAGATCTGGGCGATACTATTCAGTACAGGTCTCGAGCAGGGCTAAAATTGCAGTGCAATCCGCTGGCATGCATGAGGTGTTAAACGTTATGCAGAAGATAGTATGGCCAGGCAGGTCACTTTCAAGATTTGCTGCATTGCTTGTTCATGATTTGTGTGCTCAGTGCATCAGGCTACCTTGACCAGAAGGATATGATGGAATCGAAATCCTCATTACTCAGGCTCTCGGGATCTTGTTCTCTAGTTCCTGTGCCTGCAGCCTACAGTCTTGCGACTTCAAGCAACTCCTCCCTCGCTTCCGACGGCTTGCCTGTCGACACGACTGCGCAGGTAGAACGCTTTAGCTTTCTCCGGCGCGTGGTTTCTCCTCAGCATATAGAGCGTTTCTACTAAGAAAATGAGTATGTGTCGCGAGCATTGCGTGACGGCCATGTCAAAAATGCGTTATTTGAAGGCTTGATCTCTTGATTTCTGGCGAGCCGGTGCCAATGTGATACCTCTCAGCAGCCTTGCCGCATTCCATGCGCCGGCTCTTCCTAATGCAAAAACCACACACTTTCGCCCATAACCGCCGCAGAGTGCCCTGGGCCCTTGAGGCGTTTACCTTGATATTTTCCCTGACCTATCCTAGAGCATGTGGATGATGCAGGCAAATTTATCACAGTCCAACTTCGCTGTCACCAAACTCGGGCAGTTTCGTGGTGGATTGTATGGCAACCAAAATATTGCAGCTTTATCAAGGCATATGACAGACACAGATTCACTCACATCTCACCAACATATACAAGTTACACCTTCAAGAATATCGACCCGTCAAGCTTGACTGACAGTATTCTAAGATGTAATTATGGCATGTCTCCATATTGCTGAACAGATGATATTCACAGACGACTTCATTTCGGTCCTAAAACATATCACCCCCAGCCTGTACTTGGATTGGGCGAGCGGCTTCGTTAAAACATGCAATTGCAACATCAAAAAGTCTCATATCGTGGCCTATTGGATGATAAGTTGGCAGACATATTAGGGGCAAGTATGCGGCACTTACCTGGAGACGCCAATAACGATACAGCTATCGGTAAGTTTTCAATACGACCGGACACCCTTGAATGATAGGGGTAGTGTCCAACTAAGACAAATTTTTATTGTTAGTAATGATAACATAAAAATTTTGAACTTAGAGAAGGGCATTTACTTGGCAGTGTCAACTCAGGGGCTCCTAATATTGGCGACAGGAATAGGTTTGGTATACCGACAGGGTTGAAGTGTTGCCTGGAGACTAATTTTAGCAAACCCCTATTATCTTCGTCAAATAATTCGGGATTGGGTTACTTTGGAGCTTCATCACGATAACGGGGCGACATCTCCTCGATCGGTATCACAATTAGTGTATCGTATATTGCTTCCTTCATGACATTGTCCGTAAACCATTTTCGATATACCTCAAGCTTTTTCACTGCAAGGTCACGCTCCTCCTGAGTAATTTGCGAAGATAATTCCCTAGATGGCTGTTATGTTCTCTTTCTGGTTAAAGTTGAGAGTCTATGGGATCGTACCATTGCCAGCGGACTGGAGGGCTGACATATGGTTCTTTGTTGAATTTCTCAAAGTAGTCCTTCCGGAATTTGTCGAAGCTATGATAATCGTCATGAAAGAAAGAGTTTCGACCAACCTGGGAGAGGTAAGTTGCACAGGCAAGCCATCAATGATACGGTAATCATAACATACGTCTTTCATGTAGTCTTGCAGAGATCGTTGTCCTGCTTCTTTTGGAGGATTTTCCTTCCATAGTGTTTCAAAGGAAACCTTTTCATGCTTAACTCCTAAGGAGATTTCTAGATCTTTCACAAACTTATCAATCACATCGAGTTGTACCTTGTTATTGATTAACGACATATAATCAGTGGGATACACCACAGCGGGATGACCCTATTACTCGGTAGTTAGCTACTGCACAGAGGTCCACAATATTAGTATCAGAAGGTAAACATACGGTAGGAGTTATTTCTTTCATCAGTCTACTATACCATGCAGTTGCAAACTTTTTACTTTTGAGAAGGTCTCGGCCAAAGAAGGTCGGAACATCGAACTGTCTGATAGAGAAAAAATGAATAAGAAAGGAAATCAGGAAATGATAAGAGGGATGGGAGTTATACTCAAAACTAGGAATGTAGCCGGCTGTGGGTAGAATGCCATGAGTTGGACGCATAGCAAAGCATCCATTCCAGTGACCGGGACGTCTACCACTGCCACTTGCTTTCAAAAGTCAGAGCGTTAGCTTCGAAATAAATTGCAAGTATTGTAACATACTGTCAGAGCCAATGGCTATGTCAACCCAGGAGTATGCCGCAACGGCCACTCCACTGCCGCTACTACTTCCGGCTGGGGACTGGTATCCATCTGCTCGTGGGTTCCAAGGCGCCTGGTAGTCAATACACTCCACGGGCTCTTCGGTGGCAGCAAAAGACGCTAGCTTCGTTGTACCCAATATTATGGCTCCAGCTTGTGAGAGGAGTTTGATACATTCTGCAGTTTCACTGGCTGGGGGATAGAGTTCATAGTATGCCTTGTTACAGACTGATGTTCGGACATTTCTGATCTTGAAAATGTCCTTGACCGCAATCCTAACGCCCGAAAGAGTGTTGCAGTCTCTAGCATGGGCCATTCGAGAGGGCACGGCAATACCTACGGTCTGAATAACACTGCCTCGAATCGGGATATCTTTAGGGTTACTTTGTACTGTTATATTAGTGATACTCTCAGATACTTCGATTGTGTGACAGTACCTGGGCGGTGTAGCGAAAAGCGAGTGCAGAAATGCACCATTAGTATCATCGAAGATCCTGTATATTGGTGCGAGCTTGTCACCAAGAATTCTGTGTGGCCCAGGACGAAGCTGCAAAGCCTGAGAGCTATCGCAGATGTAAGTCCAGCCTATTCCCAATTGTCGAAGTTCTTCCTGGGGAACAACTATTTCGATACTCTGCTTCACCGCCGTCAAGAAAATAATTCCCTGATAGAATTCCTCACAAACCACATCGTCATTCGCTCGCACCCAATCGATATTCTCCTTCAGCAATTTCGAAGATACTGATACTTGATCTTTGTCAATATAGAAAATTGTAACAAACGACGATGCATGTCCGGAAGGTAAAGAGAACTGATCAGCACTTTAGTTACTTATCTCGACATTCGAAAGGTGAGCTTACCTCCACAGGGTTCCCAGTCATATACCGCCGTTGTCCAATCTGAAATTCCGAGGTCATCATTACTTTCGAAGTTGTCTCGAGGCCTGTCGTGCTTATCTATTGGCCCCGGAAGTTGAGGTAGTAAATATGGGACTGATCTCAGATAAGTTGGTGAGCAATAGAGCCAAGACGCTCAAGAAAGGAATGAGTTTTGGTGTTGCTTGCATTACTTGGAGGAACTAAAACCTGTCCTGCAATACCTAAGCAAAACCGAATGTCACTGGAAGAAGGTCGCCAGCGGGTAATGCGGCCCATCCCCTTCAAATAGGGCCACTGAGATGTGACGAAAGGCTAGCGTTGCATGTACATGGAGGCCAATGCAACGTCCTGCATCGCGACAAGAGGCTGTGCAATGCATCGAAAGTCTATCTACTATGATGATAGTGTAGCACCATTTGAAAACATCACCAGTATGATTGAAATCTCTAAACTATAACCCGTACTACGCTAGCCTTTTCTCAGCCTTTTTTTGGCTCCGAAGGGCTACATGCTATTTAAAAGTGTGCTTATGACAATACTGGCGTTTTCTTCCATGATGTACCTCCTACCTACTCCTTGTTTACTTTTGATTCCGAAATCAAACACCCCGATTCTAGTTACTTTCCAATAGTTCGGCACTCGCTACTGGTGAAAGGCTACGTATATGCTATCAATTAAATCATGAGGCGAGTCGCCTAGGAAATTAAATAGGTTCTCACATTTATTCCTTCTAAATGAAAATAAGCATCTGCAAAATTGTTTCCCCCTTCATAAGTTTCATTCATCTGATCAGTCTGATCTGACGTAACCATTTCCAGAAGATCTTCCCAAGGTCTCGTTTCATCATAGCAATCGAAAGGAACATCAA